TCAGCCTGTAATCCCGCGCCTTTGGGAGGCTGAGGTGAGTGGATTGCCTGAGCCCGTGGGTTCGAGACCCGCCTGGGCAGCGAGACCTCATCTCCACAATAAATCAAAAAATCAGCCGGGCGTGGTAACGCATGCCTATAATTCCAGCTCCTTGGAAAGCTGAGGCAGAAGGATCGCTGGAGCCCAGCAGGTCGAGGCTGCGGTGGCCAGAAGCGGCCACTGCACTCCAGTCTGGGCGAAAGAGTGAGACTCCAACTCAAAAAATAATAGTAATAAAAAAATTAAAATAAATTATTTAAAAAAATAAAAATTGAGGGGCAGAGGATAAAAATCTAATAGAAAATGAAAAAAAAAAAAGCCAGGCGCAGTGGCTCACGTCTATAATCCCAGGACTTTGGGTGGCCGAGGTGAGAGGATTGCCTGAGCCCACGGGTTTGAGACCAGCCCTGGCAACTTGGCAAGATCTCATCTCTAAAATAAATCAAAAAATAAGCCAGGCGTGGTGGTACATGCCTGTAGTTCCAGCTACTTGGAAGGCTGAGGTGGAGGGATGGCCTGAGCCAGCAGGTCGAGGCTGTGGTGGCTGTAAGCATGCCACTTTTCTCCAGTCTGGGAGACAGAGTGAGACTCCAACTCAAAAAAATGAAAAAAAGATAATACACAAAAAAGAGCATACATATATGTGTTTAAACATATAAAAAGATTCAGACTCAAATCTGGGACAATTTCAGCAACAAAATGAATAATCATAGCAATGGGGCATGTTGCGCTGGCTCATGTGTGTCATTCCAGCACTTTGGAAGGCCCAGACAGGATGACTGCTTGAGCCCAGGAGTTCAAGACCAGCCTGGGCAACATAGCAAGACTCCGTGTTTACAAAATAAATAAACAATGGTTTAAAAATAATAATGATCATAGCAATAGACTATAACTCATAGAATAAAACAAGTACCCATGAGCTCATACTAATAAAAATAACTGAATGAATAAAGAGTTGGCCAGTACTCTTCAAAAGTTCTGATGCCATTAAGCACAAAGACTGAAGAGAAAATACCAAGACTGAGAAACTTTTCTGATTAAAGGGAGCCATGGTTGGGTACGGTGGTTCAAGCCTGTAATCCCAGCACTTTGGTAGGCCGAGGCAAGGGGATTGCCTGTGCCCATGGATTCAAGTACAGTTTGGGCAACTTGGCGAGACCTCATCTCTACAGTAAATCAAAAAATTTGCTGGGCATGGTAGCACATACCTGTAGTTCCTACTTGGAAGTTTGAGGCAGAAGGATTGCCTAAGCCCAGCAGGTCGAGCCTGTGTGGCTGTTAGTGTGCCACTGCACTCCAGTCTGGGCCTGAAATGATTTAAAAATGAAGAAAAAACTATAACTTGTCCCTAAATAATTATTGTCCTTCAAAGTAATATTTCTGAGATGTTAGATATTTATTGCAGAGTTGTAACAGTTTTTGACTTTTTTTTGTTCTCTATTATTTTTGGTAGAAACGGGGTCTCACTTTATTGCTCAGGCTGGTCTCAAACTCCTGGGTTCAAGTCTTGGCCTCCCTAAGTGCTGGGATTACAGGTGTGAGTCACCGTGTCCAATCTGATCTTTTCTTGTGTAAGTGCTTTCAAGTGGGGGACAGTGGCTCACATCTATAATCCAGTGGCTCATGTCTATAATCTCAGCATTTGGGGAGGCTGAGGTGAAAGAGCTGCTTGAACCCAGGAGTTTTAGACTAGCCTGGGCAACATTGCAAGACCTTGCCTCTACAAAAAAATTTAAAAATTAGCCAGGCGTGGTGGTGCTTGACCGTAGTCTCAGCTACTGGGGAGGCGGATAAGGGATGATTGCTTGAGTCTAAGAGGTCAAGGTTGTGGTTAGCTGTGATCATGTCACTGTACTCCAGCCTGGGCAACGGAGTGAGACCCCGACTCAAAAAAAAGTGCTTTCAAAGAATCAGTTTAAATGACACAAGAAGAATGTTTCTTGATGCAATTAAAAAATATATTATGGACATTTTCAAACACAAAAGTAGAATAATATAATAAGCCCCTATGTACTCATTATCCAATTTCAACAATTAGTATCCTCCTTATGTTTACAGTATTTATTCGTCTTTTTTCCTGGAAAATTTAAAGGAAATCTCAGATATATCATTTCATAGCAAAGACTTTTTTCTTTTAAAATATCCACCATACTATTATCACGCCTGATAAAAATAACAATTCCCGAATATTCAGTCCTTATTCAAATTTTGCTCATTTTCCCAGTCTTGCTTTTAAATTTAATCTGTTGGGGAAATTAGGTTATTTGACCCATGAAAGCTGATTACTTCATCTTGGTGTTTGTTTTCCCTATTTTTCTATTTCCTGTACACTGTTGGTTAGAGTTAAGGCTTAATTAGATTTGAGTTCAATTTGAGGGATCAAGAATACTTCACAGGAGGTACTGTGTATTTTCAAATGCATCACTTCATAAGGTATCTCATGTCTGGTTGTCTTCCTTTTAATGGTAGGAAGATTGATCAGAGTTCAAATGAGGTCAGCCTGGTTCCCTCATTATACATCTTTTTAAAAGGGGAGATGGCATACACACTTAGCCCTATCAATAACAGACACAGTAAAACATTGAAATCTTGCCCAGGGTAACAATCTTCATAATAATGTTCAATTAACTTTCCTATCATATAACTATAGTGGAAAGTCCATGTCAACCTTTTATCACAAAGCACTGTGGGGGAAAAAATTAACAGGAAACTAATGTTAAAAATAGCATTCCACAAGTAAAGCTCAAAGTCCCCTGGTAAGTATTATCATGATTGGAAACCTAGATTAGGACAGATTTGGGAGCTCTTGATTATGAAACTTTAGGAAAATATCTAAGTCAAAAAGACTAGTAGGCAGCTAGGCTTATAAAAAATTAAATTGATTCGGCAGTCTCTAGGAGGGGGTACTGGAGGCAAGGAGGAATAAGAGGGAACCGCTGCTTTGCATTGTAATCTCATGGGTGCCTTTATCACTTCAACAACATTGCAAAGGGCACATGCTGAAGAAAAGCAAAACAGTTGGCTGAAAACATTTTTTATTTTTATTTGAAAGCAGGATTTAATGAAAGGACAGAAAAGCTCCCACAGCGGGAAGGGACCTGAAGGGGTTGCCCCACAAAACATTTTTTTTTTATCAATATTTTTTATTATGGTTTTGTGGGGTACAATTAAGGGTTAGATGTACAATTACGTTTCATTCAGGCACCCTGTTGATAAGAGATGTTTCCCCTTCCCCAGACAGATATTTGCTACTGTTAATCCCACCCCCCCAAAACATTTTTTAAAAACCCATTACACTGGGCCCAGTGGCTCATGCCTATAATCCCAGCACTTCCTTTGGGACGCCGAGGTTAAAGGACTGCCTGAGCCCACAGGTTCGAGACCAGCCCGGGCAGCTTGGCTCGAGACCTTATCTACAATAATGAAGAAACATGAGCCGAGCATGGTGGCGCATGCCGGTAGTTCCAACTACTAGGAAGGCTGATGCGGAAGGATGGCCTGAGCCCAGAAAGTCGAGGCTCCAGCCTGGGGGACAGAGACTCCGACTCAAAAATTTTTTAAATTTTCCTGTGATAGGCTTTTTTAAATTTTTGAGTCGGAGTCTCTGTCCCCCAGGCTGGAGCCTCGACTTGCTGGGCTCAGGCCATCCTTCTGCATCAGCCTTCCAAGTAGTTGTAACACACACACACATATACATATATAGACTTTCTGTTTCCTTCCATCAGAATCCACTTGGGACCATATTTAAAGGCGCTAAGGTCAATAAAGCGCCTCTGGTGACAGTCTTCAAAGAGGCTGTTGGCCGGGCTTGGTGGCTCAGCCTGTAATCCCAGAGCTTTGGGAGGCCGAGGTGAGTGGATTGCCTGAGCCCACCGGTTCGAGACCCGCCTGGGCAACTTGGGGAGACCTCATCTCTACAATAAGTAAAAAATTAGCTGGGCGTGGTAGCGCACGCCTGTAGTTCCAGCTACTCGGAAGGCGGAGGCCGAAGGATCTCCGGAGCCCAGCAGGTCGAGGCTGCGGTGGCCGGGAGCGGCCACTGCACTCCAGCCTGGGTGACAGAGTGAGACTCCAACTCAAAAAAAAAAAAAAAAAGACTGTCACGTTAGAGAAGAACTCGAAGTTTGGAGGACAGAGCTGGGGGCGCGGTTCCCAGGCGCCCAGGCTCGGAACCCCCAACCCCCGCGAGCGGGCAGAGCCGACACAAAGCCTCGCGGGGGCGGGGCCCGTGACGTCACAGCTGCGCCCGCCCCCTTACGCCGCGCTCCGGGGAGGCCAGAAGGTTTCTGGCGGCGCCGGCGCCATTTTGCCTGAGCCTGAGACCGAGTGGGAGCGGAGTGGAGCGGCCGTTGTCGCCGACTCTGTCCTCCTCCCCACGGTCCGGCCAGCGGGTTGATTAGGCCGTCGGCCCTCGAGCCGAGACTTGCCTCTTATTTAGTTCTGGGGAGCGCATGGCCGACATGAGTGATGTAGAGGAGAACAACTTCGAGGGCAGAGTGAGTACAAAGCCACGGGAGCCGTCTAGGCGGCGGCCCGATGCTCGGGGTCTCTTGGGGACGAGCGCGGTCGGGCGGGGTTACTGAGCGTCCGGCGAGGGCCCCGCGGGGACCAACCTCTGCAGCCATCGCGATTGCTTCCTCACATCCCAAGATGGCTTCTGGGTTCCACTCGTTCCCCCAACACTACGGAGCACACCCCTCCCCCCTTTTTCGAGGCGGACTGGTATCTGGGCGCTCGGGTCCGGTTCCCTCCCTCCCCCCGCCCCTGAGGCCTCCTAATCTTGGTTCCGAGGTGTGGGTCCCCGTCGCGGGGGAGGCGGGAGGCGGCGGCAGGGGGTTCCCCTCCGGCCGGATTAGTGGTAGGTGCTTCCTGCGGTGGCGTTTCTGGCGACCCCGAGCACCGTGGAGGGTCTCGGGGCCGAAAGTGCGCGGGGCTGTGTTCCGGGCGGGCAGAAGCTGGCGTGGGACTAGCTGGGGCCTGTGTCTCCTTGGCTCTCTATTGCAGTGAGCGGCCGCGTCTCTGTTGGAACCGGCGGCGTTGCGTCTATAAAGGCGAAAGCCTTGAGGTTGAAGGTGGGACGAGCCTAATGAAGTGGTTAGTCAACGACCGCACCGACCCTTAAGCGTTCTTAAGACGAGAGCTGTGAGGGGAACACTACGCAAGGAGCCCTTTCCCTTAACGTCCCTTCTCCTTTCTTTCACTTCGAAACGAATGTGAAAATGCTATAACGCCTGATTTTTCTCATTCCTTGATGTTGGGTTTTTTTTCTTCTTTATATCTCAACTTCTAATGCTCTTCTTCCTGTGACCTTACATCTAAAAACTGATCACTCCTTTACAGGTTTTTACGGTAAAAAAAAAAAAAAAAAAGAAAGAAAGCAAAGGAATCTTCCGTCTTGAATCTTACATAACTGGACGAATTTCATGGCTCAGGTTTTTAGAACGAGGTAGTCCATGGGTACTGTTCTCTCACTCAAAAGATTGTCTGAAAATTAACGGGCCGTCTCTCGTTTCTTTTCTCACCCCATCCCCCAGCTCAGGTTTTCATTATTTGGGGTCGGATTAGTGTAAAGTCACAAAGAATACATTATCGTCAGCATAAACGCACTAGAACGTTCATCACTGAGCTACATTTTCAGAATTACCCCAGTAGTGGAAGTGAGTGAGTGTCACTAAGGGAAACCTAGGAAACGCTTGAAGTGTGCTGAGGGGGGTTGATTTTGTCCTTTTTGGAGGTTCGTAATATAAACACCTGGATCCAGAAAGTCAAATCAGAAGGTCAGAGTAGGCTTTAGTCCTTTTTGAATAAAGAAATTTAAAGCAATAAGTTAGAAACAAAAAAGCTATCTTGAATGCCTCTGATTGGATTTTTTGATAAATTTTGGAGCATGACAATAAGTGAAAGTTGAACCTGCTCATTTTTTAGGATGGTATTTTGCATGCCCCAATAGAAGTTTCCAGAATCGTGCGATTAAAATATTTGATGGTAGTTGTAAACTGCTTCTACTTTTGAAGATGTTAAGTAGTTGTGGAACGGAATTTTGCTGTTCATCCTCTTTCCTTCAATTAACATTCATAACAAAAACATTTAATTGGTAAAGTTTGTTTTGGTTTGTCTTTTGGGGGAAGTAAAGAGAACTACCAGTGGGACCCTGTTTTCTTTAGTTTTTATGTTTTGTCATCGAGTTGAAGAAGGGAGGAAGTTCTAGATGATTGTCACCTTACCCACCAAAGAAAGTAACATGTAAGATTCCCCCTCACTTTTAAGCTAAAATATATGTAGGCATTAATTATTTATTTAATAGAAATAGAAAAATATTTTTTCGCAAGTGGTAGTCAAGTGTATTTTAGTGTAAATCAGATTGAATGATGAGTAATAATTAATGCTTCCACACTGACCTGTTGTATCTTTCTATGTTTTTAAAATTATTTTTTAGATTGAGTAATATTTGTAATTGGTTAAAGAATTGGAAGAATGCTGGAAGCTTTTGTGGAGGTGTCCTATTTTATTGTTTCTTAAAGCAGTTCACTAGTGCTTTTGGTTTTTAAACTCCAGTGACAACTTTTACCTGGTGACCATATACCAGCAGTTAATTTTTTATATAACACAACTGCTGTATTGCCTTTGTTTCTGAAGATATATAAATGTAACAACTACTTAGGCTCAAAAAAGGATTTTCAGATGATGTGAGGTATTTAAATTATTGTGCATCATACTTTTTTATGACTAAAGCAAATTAGGGAAAACAACAAACAGGTCAGCATTCAAATGTTAGGGTTACCAAGTGTTTGTGGAGATTGAGAGTCTAGCTTCTGGGCTAAATTAATGTTTTCTCCTTCTGTAGGAATTTAATGAAAAGAATGCTTCTAGCACTTTAAAGTGCCATGTCGCTTGCTTTATCTGGAGTTTGAGCAAGGCACATATTAACCCCATCCACTAAAAAGATATTTAGAATTGGAGAATAACTTTCTAGATGCTACCAAGCATATTAAAGAAACAAAACTGATATTAGTACTGCTTACTTTCATTTTAGAGCCCATCAGCCCCAAAATGTTTGATATCTTTTCTTATGTATTGCTTATGATTACTTTTGCAAAGACTGGAATGTTAGCATTTTAGAACTTAAAAGTTGATACCGAAAAGACCACACATGCAGGAATCTGAGACAAGTCCCACCCAGTCCACTGCTCATTTCTTATTTATTTACTCATTCATTTTAGAAAGTAGTATTTATTAAGAAGACAGAAAAGCTTCCACAGCAGCGGAGACCTGAGAAAGAAGGTTGCCCTTGATTTACTTTCTAAAAATAGTACACTGTGCTACAGTGTCTCAGAGCCATCATTGGAGTTTACAAAAAGCAATTACTAAAGCATAATTTTCCATTATAAATTAATGTCTTCCATTTTAAAGCGTTAGAGTAAAAGAACTTTAGGAAAGAAAATAGCATTGTATGGATTCTGTTGTAAGTAACCTGAGGTCAAATTAATTAATAGAGCATTTGCTTCCTTTTTTAAAGTAAAGGCTAGATCTTGAGGAAAAGAACTTGCAGGCTAATTTGAGATGACTGACAGTTCAAATCTAGCTAAAAATAAGTACATACATTTCTATGTGATGGAATTAATAAGGAATTCAGAAAATGGGTGAGTAGTTTTGTGAGCTAGGGCAATGGGAAAGCCTTATCTAAGATGTGAAACTTTTACTAGATTTTATGTTCGGGAAATGAATATTGAGTGTATGGATGTGACAATGAGGAGTATGCTAGAAATGTGAAAGATTTGACTAAACATTCAGTCAGAGAATGGAGAGTTTTGAATTCTAGGTGTAGAAATTTGGATTTGCTCCAAAATGCTGTAAGGAACTATCTATAAGCTCTTAATTCGGGGGGATATAATGAAAGGAATTTTAGCAAAGACCAGAGAATGATAAAGGAAGAGTGACTTGAAGTATTTGAGGAAGGAAATTATGAAAAAAAATCTAGTCTAAACAGGACAGTAGTGGGATGTACCTAGGGCGACAAAGGAAGATTTAAGATAAAAGGAAAAATAAAAGAAAAAAAAAAGAGACAGTTTTCCAGGAATCCAGGAGGCAAATGGTGCCATTAAAATAAATAGGTCCATTAAGGCAATTTTCTTGGAATATATGTATCAAGTTAACAAACATTTAAAGTGAAAATGTCCTTTGGAACTGGGAGTGAAATTGGCACTTGAACTGTGGCTTGCCGATCATCTTCGTAAAAGTCATGAGTTGTTTTCTTTATACAGCTTAAACAGATTAGGATTTTGATCTCAAATTCTGTTGCCCTTTATAGAAATTAGGGGAATGGAAATTAAGCTTTTCTCACCATTATACTTATTTTATTTCCCTTCTTAGCCCTACATTTTTAAAAACTAAGAAAAATGTGCTTTTTTTTCATACAGTGACCCAGTGTTTATAATAGAGGTTAATTATTCTTTATTGTTAAGAGATCTGTCTTATAATTCCATTTTTTTATGCTTTGTACAGTTGAAGGGGAAAGATGCTGCTTGTGCTTGCCTGCTTTTCAGGTTTTGTTCTGGATTCTTGAGTAGCTGGAGTTTTTTTTGTTTTTGTTTTGTTTGAGAGACTCCTTGAATTACCCTTCTTAATATATGAGATGATTGGATGATAAAAAGTGAAGAACAAAACAATTTTGTCTGTACCAATTTGGAATTAAAAGTTGTGTGTGTTTAGATACTTTGTTAAAGAATGGAAGAAATGAGGGGTTTTTTTTTTTTACCCCCCTCTGAAACCCAATTTGTTAATGAGTAAGGACTACTTCATTCAGAACCCAGCATCGTGACTGGCTTGTTTTAAAAAAAAAACAAAAACCTCTTGAACTGGGCTTTAAATGTTTTTGTTTATGTAATTTTATTTTATTTTATTTTATTTTTTTCCTTTGGGGGGAAGAAGAAAGAGAGAAAGAGAGAGAGAGAAAGAGACTGGACTCCAGTCTATTGCGGAAACGATGTCTGTTTATGTAATTTAAAAACAATAAATATGAGGAACATCATAGCATTTTAGCTTTAAAAAGTCTAATTCAAGCCGGGCTCGGTGGCTCAGCCTTTGGGAGGCTGAGGTGAGTGGATTGCCTGAGCCCGCGGGTTCGAGACCCACCTGGGCAGCGAGACCTCATCTCTACAATAAATAAAAAAATCAGCGGGGCGTGGTAGCGCATGCCTGTAATTCCGGCTACTTGGAAGGCTGAGGCGGAAGGATCCCTGGAGCCCAGCAGGTGAGGCTGCGGTGGCCGGGAGTGGCCACTGCACTCCAGTCTGGGTGACAGAGTGAGACTCCAACTCAAAAAAAAAAAAAGTCTAATTCAGCTTCACATTATTTTCATGTATCATCAATTGACCTGTTACAAAAGGGTAAGGCTTCTTTTCTTATAGTAGGGATAGTGTTAAACCTGAAAAAAATCTTATTTGTCCTGGGTTTAATGTATTTTCCTAAAATTAGGTACCATCAGTTCTCTAAGTTTAATGCTTCCTATTTTCCCACCCCTGTTGAAGCAAAGAAGTTGTAAATTAAAGGAAACACCTTGAAGCTCACATTTTCGTATTTTAGATTATTTCATTCACTAAATAGTACTAATTTGCTCAATACAAGTAGAAGGCAGGATTTTGAAAAGTTGTAGTGTGAGTAATTAGACCCACAGTGCATACCTAATTTTACAGACCTGTCGTAGATGCTTTTATATTTTGTACTGTTTCTAAAATGAGAATAAACAATATATAAATCTGAGGGAGTGTGGAGGGGTTTACATATTAAAGGAAGATAGTCATTTTTTTAAAATTTAGCTATATTAAAATACACTTTTGTCTGCAGGCCTAATTTTGCAGATGAACTGAACTTTTTGACCTATCTGGTCTAGGATGAGGTATAGTGTATACAGTATAACAAGTGTGAAATGGCATAAGTAACTAGCATGGTTATTTCATAGAACTTGCCTGGCAGTGTAAATATTTTCTCTTTGATAGTATCAGTGGGTGCTCAGGCATCAAACAATTAACCCTGGGGCCTTTGCAGAAAAGTGAATATTCACATAGTGAGTAAATACTGATTATTACTTGTTCCTTTCCTAACATTTATCAGGCCAGGAGTAGAGGTGAGAAAATGATAATGATCCTCCAAGGAAAAGACTACAAACACTAAAGAAAAGTTGAGAGGGGAATAATAAAAAAGGAAATGTGGTTCCCCTTCACTCTTCTAAGTTACTTATATATGTAGTTGTGTGTAATCCTTATTGTCTGTGATGTTCACCAAATATGTGAGTGACTAGGCCTGACTGATCTGAGGGAGGTTAGGATTTTTCCTGGAATCCAGGGCCCTATCATCTGACTCTCAAGATTTATAAATAATGCCTTATACCAGAAGATGAGAACATGTAGAAAGCATTA